ACAAGTGTTCATTCTTTTTCAGTTGATGCTGTGGGAACAGTAAGAGAGAAGGGCCGTTATCAGGTGTCTGACCTTTCTGGTGAGCTCTGACCTTCTCTTAGCTCTTCAGCCTTTCCTACATTTCTCCAAATGAAGAGAGTATCTGTGACTGGAAACTAATAGAAAATGTTATAGAAATATGGTCCGAGTGGTTACATGATGATGGGATTTATTACAAAGTGGATAGCTTCCAGATGAAACCAATAGATGAAGACAGTGATTTAAAAAAATAAAAATAAAAATTGTATTTTCTGAGAAGCCACCCTATCATAGCATTCTGCTAAGTGCCCTCCGTGTTCACCTCACCTGATCCTCTCAACAATGCTCTGAGGTAGATCCTGTACCAGCCCAGCCACAGATAAAGAAACTGAGGCTCAGAATGGCTAATTAACATGACCAGAGGTACAATACTCCCAAGTGGCAGAGCCAGCACATGTCCCAGCTCCAGCAGATGCTAGTGCCACCTTAAGAGCTCACCGATGGTACTTTGGTGGTACCTCTGAGTTTGGAGACATAGGCCAGCACTGTTAAGTCATCCCCATCAGAAACCAATTGACCAGCCTCCTGATAAAACCAGCATTCAGGCCAGATTCATTTCTGGACGCCGTCCCCTGAAAGATCTGGACATGATGGAAATGCTTTCAGTGCCGGCCTCAGAGAGAATTGACCCATCCGGCATCACAGAGCAAGACAGGGACTGAGCCAGGACTACACCCCAGGTTTTCTGGTTCCCAGGCCAACATTCCCTCCATTGTGCCAACAGCTTTTCCTGCTAAATGACGTAAGCTCCACTTATCAATTACACGGCCATGTTCTGGAGAAAACCAGCTGCTTTAAAGAAACATAGTACAGGAAATCTATATATGTGATGAAATTTCACAGAACTGCACACCAAGAAAAAGTAGCAAAATCCGAATAAGGTTTACCCTTAAGTTAATGTATCTTACTGATGGCAATGGTATATGTGTATGTGGTTTTGACAATGTGCTATGCTTATGTGAATATTATCATTGGAAGAGGCTGGGTAAAGGGTCACTGAAACTCTGTTTTTTTTGCAGCTTCCTGTGAGTCTTAAACTATTTCAAAATAAAAAGTTATAAAAATAAACAATTACTATAATAGGAAGATGAGCTAAAATATTTAATCACGTACTGTGCGTAAAGTATAGGTTTAAAGCAGCCGATGTGAGTGAGATACATATGTGGTTGGTGCTTCATAATATTGGAAGAGGAGAATGCCAGAGCCGCTTCTGGGCCAAGTCCTCCCTGAGACTCCATGGGAATAGTGCCTTGAACTTGTTCCTCTACACTTAGGTTACTGCTACCATTCACTCCCTCAACAAAGCTAGAACCTTCAGCGTGACCTCTGATCCTTTGGCGGGTGGGGTAGGGGGGGAGATTTTTGTATAATGGTTAAAAGCATGGGATTTGGGTTCAGATCCCAGCTCCCGCTTTTGCTAACAGCATGGCCTTGGGCCAATTACCTAACCTCACTCCTAAGTCTTAGTTTCCTACAGTTTTCAGCAATATCGCAGAGTGAAAAAAATGTATGTCCAGAGGACCTGGACAGTAGTAAAGACTCGGTTAATGTAAATACGATGACGCGCGGTGATGGGGATGAGGAGGACCAGACGGGGAGGACAGACATTCATGCTCCCTCTTCTTCCCCAACCGATCAGTCTCAAAGGTCTGTCCATTTCGTTTCCTAAGTGTCCCTCAGAGTCTTTTTCCTCCATCGCTATTCCCCTGGTTCAGGCTGGGATGTTGCAGCATCTTCCAGACTTCACATACTCCACCGTTAATTAACAACTTCCTAAAAGAGGGTGGATCCTGGCACAGCATGGTGAGGAGAATGCAGGACTCTTCTTGCCTAATAGTGAGTGATTATTCATAGTTATGTCTCACCACCCCAGTTAGACTCAAATTCCCAAAGGCAGGACCTGAGTATGATTCGGCCTGGGATTTCCTCACCGGCCTGCCTAATGTAGTCACTCAGCAGTGTGAGTGGATAAAATGCATGTTAACATGTTTAGATCTTGCCATGGTTGGTCCTTCTTGTCATTCAGGTCATGGCCCAAAGATTACTTCTTTAACCATGCCCTGCCCGGACACCCAATCCAAATTTTCCCACGTTATATTATCTGAGTCTCACAATAGCCCTGTGCTGAAGAAGGGACAGTTGTCAGATATGTAATTGCCTAAAAATAGGCACATCGCTTGTGTGGCCATACACTTCACTGATGCCAACCTCTAGACAATTGGACATCTAGTAGAAAATACTACTGCAGCCCTCCCTCCCCATGTCGAGATTCATCCAGAGTGTCTGTGCTGCACAGGAAATCTGGGGGGAGGGTATGCACCTGTCAAGCTGTGCAGAGCATTTTAACATAATGTCTGATTCACAAGATAAAATGACTTTTTGTCTGTGTCTGTGCTTGTCTGAAGCAATCCATAGCTGAGTGATTTCCTGTGATCATCCCATTCTCGCTGGGTTGGGGCTGAGGATTGATGCAATGTCTATCTCATCTTCGGTGGCTCTTGTTCGCTCCCTCTGTTTACAAGAGAGAGATTCACTAGACTGCATGTTCTCCCCACTCTAGGACCCATCCACACACAGCCCAAGTCATCATCTGAAAAACAAATCTGAGCATAGTCCTCCCCTTCTTCGGACATCCAGTGGTTGCTGATGCCATCAGATAAAATTCTAAATCTTCACCCTGGCAAACAAGGTTCTTGACAAATTCAGCTGAATGCGCCAGCCTCATTTCATCCCTCCCAGCAAACCTACACTTCAGCCTATCAGTCTATGAACATGTGTTCCTACTTCTTACTTCCTAAGTGTTCATTTCTACGTCCGTGCCTGAGTGCACGTTGTTCCCTTTCCCTGGTGAGCACATAAAAATTCTAAATCTTCACCCTGGCAAACAAGGTTCTTGACAAATTCAGCTGAATGCGCCAGCCTCATTTCATCCCTCCCAGCAAACCTACACTTCAGCCTATCAGTCTATGAACATGTGTTCCTACTTCTTACTTCCTAAGTGTTCATTTCTACGTCCGTGCCTGAGTGCACGTTGTTCCCTTTCCCTGGTGAGCACATAAGAATGAGCTCAGTCTGGAACAAATTGAGACAGAGGTAGCA